ATGTCCGAAGATGAGGGGGAATGTCAATCCGGTATGATGGTCCATCGGCGTCCCCTATCACCTTGGGAACTTCCCAGGGTCCTAGATAGACAGGCATCAGTTTCTGAGAAACATCTTCTTCTAAAGTAAATTCTTTGGACTTAACCCAGACCAAGTCACCAACTTGAAAAGTAGACGGGCGTTGGTGTTTATTAGCTTGTTGAATCATGTGTTCTTGGGTTTTCCTTAGATTTTCCTTTTACCTTTTCGATGTCTTCTTGAAACAGAATGGCATATTCCTTAGTCCCTGGTGGAAGTCTAAGAAACTGGTCCCTTGTTAGAACATCTATGGGACGCTTAGGCTTCCAGCCTTTATGCAGTGCGTTAGGTGTGCGTCCTGTAGCGGTATGCACACTATTGTTATAGGCACCAGCAATCTTCAGTAAGTTCTCGTCCCAGTCTATTTGGTCAGGACGGACATACATTCTCAAAAGTTGTTGGACTAAACGGTTCATTTGCTCAGACTGTCCATTCGTTTCAGGGTGTCTACCTGACGACATGGTGAGCCTTGTACCGTAGGCTTCCATCAATTTCTGCCAAGGCATGCTTTTGAATCTGACATCGAACACGATCGACGTACTGCGTTACCGTCATCGTGTTTTTGTCAGCCAACATAGACGTGATTGGTCTAGCTAACGTTTGGATCTTCATGCCGAGGTGCAACTTGCGGATTGCACGTTCAGACATGTAAGATCGTGTGGACCCAGGGTCCAGCATCACACCAACGTGTGTGCAACGCGCGGGAGTAGATATAAAGGACCTGAGAGTCCTCCAGGTTAAGACCAGGAACCTGCAACAGGCGGTCTACCTCACGAGACAATGACTCAACGGAAGACCAGGACTTCTGTCCTATCGAGGTGAGTTGGTCGAAGGCCTTATCAGCCGTGGTCTTGTCCAAGAAGCGGTCCTTGACTTTTGCAAGGAACTGCTTGAAGGTCATCGTCTTCACCCACTCACCTATATCGTCAAACCCCGCGGCATTCGCCTCCGCCAGAACCCACTGCTTCACTTCACCACCCATACAAGAAGTGGTGAACGCAACTTGCGACTCTTCTTCTACCGGTGCAGTCCCAACATAGGTCTGGATCTCTGCAATCCAGAGTGGAAGGCTTTCTTCTTTCTTATTAGAAAAAGTGAAAGGTAATTTTATCTTCACCTTTTCTTTTTTCTTTGGCTTAGTCGGATCTGCAGGTTTGGCATTGTCCTTAGGAGGGGGAGTGGGACCGTTGGGACCACCATTCCCGTTTCCATTCCCGTTTCCATCACCATTCCCGTTGGGTTTCTTTTTCGGTTTCTCTTCCGGTTTCTTCTCGGTTTCTTTTACCGCTTCCTTCTTCGTTGTGTCGCTGTTTTTCATTCCACCAATAAGCAACTTCTTGGGCTTGACGTCCGCTCTTCTTTCTTTATCTTCATCATTTTCAAGCATAGGGGCTTTCCCCTTGACAATGCTAGTAATGACATGAAGGCCAACAGCGAATTCATCCATTTTAGATTGCTGTTGGTCTAACTTTTCTTCAAGAAAAGCCAAATACGTCAATATTTGTCTGAGCGTCTGAGCAACATCTTTTTCATCTAAGGAAACGTGCTGCTGAACTCTACCCATTCTCTGCTGCCCACTTCCTGTTTGGGCACTTCCTCTTCGGGCACTTCCTCCTCCTAATCGCATAATCGTGTCTCAAGCAGAGATCCGGATATCCAAGACACTGTAGACCAATAGTGCCAGGTGGCACCTGTCTCTTATACACATCTAGATGTGTATAAGAGACAGCTGTAGACCAATAGTGCCACGTGGCACCAGCAGACCAGTCATCAAGCAGCAACGTGACGACGAAGTTGAAGACACCAGGTACGTATCACGACCCAAACCACAGTCCTGAATCCTTCTTCCGAATACTTGTCAAGCAGAACAGCAATACAGGCGCCCAGCGCCTTCCATCTCAGCAGCAATACTACATGGCAGCAGCCACGAAGATGACACGTGGCATCTGCCATGTCGACAACCCCTCAGACAATAGTGCGTCAGCCAGCATGCTGGTCGCACAGCACACTCAAGCCACGAACCAGCGACGAGCGCCGATCGTCAAGTTCTCCCCGCAGCGTCTCGCCAACAAGACAGCATAGAGCCGGCCTTGACGCGAGAGCGTCGAGTCCCCATAGACTAGACGAGAGTCTAGATGTCAAATCCAGGAAGTCAGCCCAATATGTAGTGTTGACGGCGGGGTCTGGGCCCCAGTCCTCAAGTCAGACACGGTCGAGATCGATTGTCGTCGACGACCTGGATTGGGTTGAAACTGTATCCTCCTTGGTCCACCRKTCYGACTGGGTACCTGCACACATACAAGTCGATGCACACGACCAAGGGCCTGGGCGAGGTACCTGGACCTACAGTTCACTTTGACCTTTGAATTTCTTGCTGTGCGCGGTCACACAGCACCCGCAGCGGCCTGAGGCCAAGCAGCGCGTGGTTGCACTGCTCGCTGGGCCTGGGCTTGGGTTACAGCGCCCAGGCCGCTGCTGGACGCGGTTTACTGCAAAAAAAAAAAAACATAAAAAAAAAAAAGTTCCGTAGCCAAACGGAACCGAATCGGTGACCTCGGCTGTAGCAGCCGGATGCCTTTCAAATTACCACTGCAACGGTGACCCGGTGTTCAAAACTGAAGCCACACTGGTCGTGACATTCAGCCCAGCCCAGCACCTTTGCTGCAAGGACTTACTACCGTCTTCCCCCGAACATAACGGACCCTAAAAATGAATGCATACAAGCTATATTTCCGGCCAAATACAGCTAAAATAAGAATGCGTTGTGTTCGGGGGAAGACGGTAGTCAACCCAGTACATCCATGAGACCTTCCGCAGGCAGCAGCATCCACGCAGAACCCAAGACCCTCACGCAGTTCCCTACCGGCATCCCATACACCAGAATCCAGGTGAACATCCCCTAGCTAGTTAATGGGCTCGTACCCATTGGTAGAATTATCGTTGTAGCCCAGGAATTGATCCGCAGCCGGACGGAATTTCGCAGCCAAACAGAATCGAACCGGTGACCTCAGCTGTAGCAGCCGGATGCCTTTACCACTGCAACGGTGACCCACTGATCCAGTGTCGAGTCAGTCAAACATCGGATCTATACCTAGTAGGCTAATAAAATTATAGAGCAAAATATTACCAAAATAGTAAAAATACTTTCAAACGGGATTGGATTGAATGCCTGAATCTAAACGTGTTCATGGAAAGGTGGAGAAAATCAAGATTGAACTGCTTTTCTGCATCGGACTCTCTGCTTAAAACACGTTCAGATTCAGGAGCGTAATCTTCCTTTGCTAGTGGGACCTCAACCCGGGTCAACCCGGAGCCAAGTGCCACTAATCTTCTTTTCTGCATCAGACTCTCTGCTTAAAACACGTCCAGTTGCAGAAATTCTTGATTTCTGGCTGTCGATCTCTGTGATCTACGGTCAGAGAGAAAGGATACTGGTAAGTGGGACTTGGCCCTCGGTATTCTATTTTCGGAAGGCCACGGCAGCTGTTCACACGGAGCGAGGTCACAGCAGCGACATCGCAGTTGCATAGGATAAGATATACCGGCCATAGATAACGAAGACCGACGACCAGTATCTCTCGACCCGTGCGACGATGCCATTGGGACCTCGCCCAAGAACAAATTCTCAAAATACCCCTGGACTCGCAAGGCATACTCTCACAATTCTCCTTGGGAGTCCAAATGAATCACCCAAAGAAAAAGGAAACGATCATCGACACAAAAAGGGTCCGGTGTGCCGGGGGGGGGGCACGAGGGAGTCGCTGAGCATATATAATATATCTAATATATATCGTCAAACAGAACTGCCAAATCCGGGCAGTTCTGTTTGACGATATATATACAAATATTGACGATATACATATATATTATATGTATACATATTATGTTGCCACATGATATCAGAGCGCCAAAGCGAAAAACAGAAAGAAAACAAGGACAGCAAGAAAAACTTAATTCGTTTTTAATCTTCTTCCTTGCAACTCCCCCTGTTCAGAACCTTTCACGTATATCAAAAAAAAAAAAAAAAAAAACCTCTTGCGTACAAGGCCACCCACGTGGATGTAGGTTGAGCGGCAGCTGCCCCCACCTCATATCGACCCACTTGCACACAGCCAAAAGGCAAAGAGGCAACGAAGTATACATATTATATATCATATAACAGTTTGTCACAGCCCTTCGTTTGTTGTCCTCTTCTCCCTCTCTGCCTACGATCTCATAATCGAACTGACCGGCCCTAGGTAATTCAGAATTAGAGTATTCTACTCATCTACATCTGGCAGAGTTCGAACTCAAGTCTGTATTTCAAAAGTTCAGGCCCGGGGGCTAGGTCCCAGTTACACGAATTAAGCGATATTGACCGTAGATAGCAAAGATCAACGGCCAGAATCTCTTAATCCCTGCGAGTGGGACCTTGCCCCGGGTGTATCACCTGAGCTACCCCCAGTTGATAGCTGACTGAGCATAATTTCACAATCGCACAATTGAATTTCTTTTCTTTTTTCCGACCCGGTAGGAGGATACAACAGCGACACACACACACACACAAAAAAAAAAAAAAAAAAAAAAACAGCGACAACCGGAACGTTCTTTTCTTTTTTTTTTTTTCAACAGAAAAACTCAGCTCATTTGATTACGCACGCGCGGCACACCAAAAGAGAGGCCGGAAATCCTCAACAAACAACCCGGGGGTCAAGTCCCACTAGCAGCGTTGGGTGACGTGAACGCCCGAATCTGGTCGTGTTTGTGGAGATGTGCAGAAATGGCGTTGAGTTTCGTCAACCGCACATCTCCACAAAACACGTCCAGATTCAGGAGTCGAGGAAACTCAACGCGGCTTGTGGGACTTGCCCCCGGAGAAACTGAAAAAGAGTTTCCTGGCGCCTTAACCGGGACGCTGAACGTTCTGAACGAATCGTAAGTACCTGCGAGCTTGGTAGAAGTGTGCTTGTGTCCACGTAGAGGAAATTGGCACCATAGTGATTCGCGACGGCCTTCGCCAACTTCTGCATGTAAACGATCGACTCTGCAGCAAGGGCAAACAGAAACCATACACGATATAGTATGTACATTCGCACCTCAGTGAAAGGACATTCATTTTCTGAAATTAAAAAAAAAAAAAAAAACAAGGATACACTCTAGTAAAGTCAGTATCGGAGTCAAACAGGTAAAAAAAAAAGGTGCTCGAAGCGGGGCTCATTTCGCCATGGGTAGTATCGAGTACTGGTCTCTAAGTAGACACTGGTGCCGTGTAAGTGGGACTGTGTGGGGATGGGGCTCGGGGGAGGGAGGTGCTGGCTGAGTGAGGACCGATTTGAAATAGGTGAAGAGGGGATCTTAGTACTGTGGAGAAGGGGGGGGGGGGGGG